GATCCTTTTTCATTTTTAAAATCATGTTTAATATTTTTAGAAGCCATAAGTTTGCAGATCTTGACAAACCCATACAAGAGAATTACAGTTTAGCAATGAAATTTTTTTAAAAAAAACCTAAAGCAAGTATCTAAATCAACTTTTGTCAATCATCTTAACTTTCTTTATGTTAGCTGTCGTAACCTGGATATGAACATTGATGTAAAAGCCACATTCTAACCTAGATTTGGAAAGATCATTTTGGCATCAGCCATTTATGCTCAAACACTTGCCATGGGTGGATAAGTAGAATTTGGTAGTTTACCATCTACGTGTTTTCATCTATACCTTCATAAGTCGAAGGAAAAGTAAATCTTATTTATGAAGTAATCTTCCTGAGAACAGACTCCTTGGAAAAATAATAGAGCACTTTCTTTCAATGTGAAGATCTGGTCTCCTTGGGTCATAAAGAAACAGGATTGGATACAAGACATTGATGTGACCCCTTTGTCCATCCCACTCTGTCCTGGTACTTTCTATCTAGAATAAAAACACCCAGTCTCCCTAACGAAGGTTGTCCTAATCTATCTCCCAACCTGAACTTCCATTGCCCAGAAATGTATTTAAACTCATGAACGTACAGCAGCATTTAAAGCACCTTAACACCTTTGGCCCATGAATATCTGTCAAAAGACCAACCCTCATTGCAACTTCATCCCCTCATCTGCTCTTACCATCCTTTTCTGTTCTTTCTGCCACTGATCTTTGAATTCCTTCCGCCATTTCTCAATTTCATTTTTTTTGGCCAAAAGAGGCTGCAACAGAAAGAGGACTGTTAGGTGTAGATAGCAGGAGAGAATGTAGTATTAAGCAGGAATTCAGGAAAAAAAAATAACAACCACCATATGCTGAATTAACATGGGTGTTTGAAGAAAATTGATCAAACCAATGTCCTCAGTTTCAACATTACATTTCTATTTCCCAGCCCCATCTTCTTCAAATGCAGTTGTTCCAGCCACAATCTCTTTAGGACCAAGATTCTAGCCTCATGGACTCCTGGGGCATTTGAAATTGTTGCTCTTGCATCGGGAGGTGCTTTATCTAAATCAGAAAAAAACGATGTACCTGATAATATTCTCTCAGATGCAATGTTCCAGCTGTATCGATGGCTACGTTCCCTGCCTTTATGTCATGCTCCATGACCATGGTATACAGGGACTGGAGAGGCATATCATTCTGGGGAGACAAAAGTATTGACCAACATGCTAGAACAATCATATTCTAGCTGACAGGAGATAGTCATTTCCAGGCTCTCTGTCAGATCCAGCATTCAAAGTAAATAACGCTTTTCATTTTTTTATTGTGTAGTCGCAGAGGTGGGTACCTACCAGTTCGCACCTATTCGGTAGAACCGGTTCGTCAAATCTACCGAACCGGTTAGAAGAGGTTCCACCAGTGGACCCGGANAAGCGGTATATAAGTCTAACTGCTATTGCTATCCTAATCTTTATTGCCCTGCTTATAGAAACTGCCTCTACAGTTAACCCTTAGTACATTGTAACAGCTAAGGCGAAGCGCCCATCGACCCGAGTAATGTTGAGTTGGCCATGCCCACACAGTCACATGACCACTAAGCCCCACCTACCCAGCTGGTCATTAGGACAGAGAACCAGTTGTTAAATTATTTGAATCCCACCACTGCCCTGGATATCGACACCACCTCCCGAGAAACCCTGGCACAAGATCAATGGTGGGTCCGGATCCCATTGCAACCAGTACGGTGCAATGGGGCCAGACGTCTACCACATGAACGTAGTGTGCACTTGCGTATTTACCACCTGCGATGCCTCCTCAATGCTCCAGCTGCTCAGCAGAGAGTCACGCAGGCGCCGTACGCTCTGTGCACATGCACGGAAGACCCGAAAACATCCAATACCAGTAAGGAGCGTGGACAGGAAGGTGGGCCCTGTTGAGAACTGCACTGGAACGGTACCTGGTGCTCCCAGCAGGCACTGGTACACCAGTGGTGAGATTCAAATAATTTAACAACCGGTTCTCTGCCCTAATGATTTCTTCCAACAACCTGTTCACCAAGCTGCTCAGAAAGTTAACAACCGGTTCTCCCGAAGTGGTGTGAACTGGCTGAATCCCACCACTGTGGTATACCCATACCGGGGCATGCTGATCATAACGCACCACTACACAAGCTCGATCCACATGGCACACGCTGATCCACCAATGCCAACAGACATTTGAGGATAGAAAAACAACCGAAGCACAAGAGAAGCGAGCCCTCCGCAAAGCCAGAGCTGGAACAATGTGCAACAATGGTGCCCACACATGTGTGCCCGACATGTGGCAGAACATTTGGTGCCCCTATAGGCCTTACCAGCCACCTGCGGACACACCGTGGACAGCCCACAACCTGTTAGATGTCAAGGTCCTCTTCGAACAAGATGGAGGAACATCATCACTATGAAAAAGACTCTTGCTAATAGGAGAGAGAGAAGGAGTGGGAAAAGGAGAGAGGAGAAGGAGAAAGGAAGCGGAAGTAGAGAAGAGAGTGATGGTAGAGGGCACAAAGGGGGTAGGGAGGAGGAGAGAGGGAGAGGAGGCAGGATGGGGGGTGGACAGGGTTGAACATGGTGTATGGAAAGCAGAAGAACAAATGACAGTTGCTGTGGGTTGATGGGAATAAGAACTGATATAATATTGGATAACACAAAAGAGTGCTGGTTAAGGATGTAATGGTATACTTGTGATTACTTGTATGAAAATAAAAAAAAACTTTTCTAAAAAAAAGACTTGTTGATTGTGAGTAAGATTTGTATAGTAATAATGGTCGCATTGTTGCTGAAATGTATAAACTTTTACTAAAATTGAATACGGAAGATGTATGATTAATTGGGCCAAATTTTTGGGATATAATAGAATGCTTGATCGATGGGAGTATATACAGGCAATAAAGGACTGCAGTTTACACTGAATTATAATTTGAAAGAGAAGTTTTTATAACATGATGTATAGCTCATATTTAACAATTGCCAATGATGTGTAAGAGAAATATCTATGTTGGAATATATGTTGGAAATACAACAAATATGAAGGCAGAACATAGAACAAGAGAGTTGGAGGGGACTTTGGAGGTTTTCTAGTCCAACAGGCTTTCTAGTTCAAGCAGGAGACACTATAGCATTCCAGACAAATATTTGTTCCAATATCTTAAAGGTTGCCACAAAGAAGAGGGAGTCAAACTATTCTCCAAGGCACCTGAGGGCAGGACAAGAAGCAATGGGTAGAAACTAATCCAGGACAGAAGCAACTTAGAACTGAGGAGAAATTTCCTGGCAGTTAGAACAATTAATCAGTGGAACAGCTTGGCTCCAGAAGTTGTGAATGCTCCAACCCTGGAAGTTTTTAAGAAGATGTTGGATAACTATTTGTCTGAAGTGGTGTAGGGTTTCCTGTCTGAGCAGGGGGTTGGACTAGAAGACCTCCAAGGTCCCTTCCAACTCTGTAATTCTATTCTAAATGGTTGTCCAACCTCTTTTTTAAAAAAAAAAAAAAACTCATTCTCCTATTTCTACCTCTCCTCCTCTTCCTTTCTTCTCCTTCTCCTCCTCCTCATATACCTTCTCCTTCTACCCCCCCTTTCCCTCCCTTTCTTATATACCTTGTTCCCCTTTTCCTTCTCTTTCTCTTTCTTTCCTCTTTCCTCTCTCCTCCTTTCTCCTTCTCCTCATATAACGGAAACAAAAGAAAAGAAAATATTGGACCTCTTTCTTCTTCTTAGGGCCATTAATGTAAGAAGCAATAAATGACAATATATAATGTCAAAGCATTTACTGTTCCAAAGTATAAGAAATGCTGGCATTTGGAGACATATATAACAACCCTGGGGAATAAAGAGCTATTATATCTGGGCTGTTAGGTAACTCATCAATGGCTCTGACCTTTCCAACAATCATACCATTGTCCTACCCCTCTCTCGGATTTGCTCTGAAATAAGGTACGAACAGTCGTGTTGCATGCACATCTGGAGAAAGCATTGTGAAAGCTTGCTCCCACTTCTCTCTCTCTCTCTCTCTCTCTCTCTCTCTCTCTCTCTCTCTCTCTCTCCTCTCTCTCCCCCACCCTCTCCAAATTCCCCAGGAGAAACTCTCACAAAAGAAGAGATCATTTGAATGATAGCTAGCATATTAGTGAAGTGGATATATCAGCATGGAGACATTCAAGGGGTGGGGAGGATGAAATGGACTGGAGAGGATAAGGTAGGAGGGAAACTGTTGGGAAATACTGCATTGCTAGACATAAATTGCCTTTAATGGAGATATTTCAATGACCACTTTTCTCCTCTCTCAAGGGAGGCATTTGTTTCAAAAGTCCTACAGTTGGAAGACACCAGTTAGGCTCCTAGTCTGAATCCAACTTTTGTCCGAATCCAACTCTCAGTTCAAGCGAAGCCAAGAATGTAAACCAAAGAGGCTATATATAACATCAATTGTATTTCTCTGCAGAATAACATGAGAGAACATGGCACTGAGTATAGAGAAACTTACATGCAGGTAGAAAGACATTAGTAAAGCACTGGAGTAGCTTATATGTTTCCACCGAGAATCACCAAGTCTTTTTGAAGAAACTGGTTGGGGTTTTTTTTGGGGGGGGGAATTGTATATTATCGGCTATTTATCAAACCTTTCGCCAATAGGCTTGGTGTGGGATTAAAAAAAAAATAAACTGCCTCACAATGATCCTCTGAAACAGGTAACTTGGAGGGAGACATCGACTGCTCCAAGGTGATTCATCATGTTTTAGAGCAGAACAGAGCAGTTTTCGGAATTGGATGTTGCACCTTAGAATGTAAGTGGCAGATTAAATTAAGTCCATAACGTTTGATTAAGTACTCTGCATTCTCTTGGCAGATTACATTTCCCTATTTTTCCTTAGAGAAAACTGTATCAGCAAACTGGCTAGCAGGCTATAGAGAATATCTGTCTGTTGTCTGTCTTTCTGTCCATCCATCCACCCATCCCTAGATAGATAGATAGATAGATAGATAGATAGATAGATAGATAGATAGATAGATAGATAGATAGATAGATAGATATATGATGGATAGATAGATAGATAGAT